AAAAGTAACATTCCTATTAAAAGAATCTTAACACTTTTGTTATAGAAATTGATTTCGAACATTTGGAAGCAAGAATTCACACATTACAGAAAATGTTAAAAGATGGAATAAATTTGAATCAATGAATATATACACTACAATAAATTTCTTTTTTTATAATAATAATTATTATTGTACGTTTTGTATAATATAATTAAAATGAATTTAAATAGATGATGCAATTATTAACAAAACTACGTATTTATACAAGTAAAATATATTTTCCTAAAACTGTGTATTTGATTTCCAAATTTATTGATCCTGATAAAAGAACAAATCATGCTCATAATAGCATAAAATACGAAGTACTGACTATTTTCAACAGCAATACACAAAAATTGTATTACTGCATATACTGTTAGAAATCCTTATATACAGTGTAATATAAATTTTTGTTTGTAATTGTTGTGGTTTTAATGTTATTGATATTATATCTATACTATCACATTCATTAATAAAACTTAATATAAAAGTTTAGTTAACTGAATTTGTATGCTTTTACATCATTTTCATAATACACTATAGCACGTTCAATTATTGATCTCTTTTCATTTTCTTTATTGTGTGTTTCTATATTTGTTTTCAAGCCAGTATTTGTATCTGTATGATGTTCTTGCAGATTTGCTTCTGCTACTATTAGCGTTTCGGACAATTTATGTCTTGTATGTTTTGCTAATTCTTTACAGGCTTCTTGAAGATGCTGAATTTCTCTTTGCTGTACAGATGTAATTTTATTTAACTTCTCAATGTCGTCTGTAAATTTCTGTATTTGTTGAAGACGTGCTTCTTCTTTTTTCGTTTCTTTTGCTACTTGGCGATTATATTCTAATATCAGACAACCACCGGCAACACTAAAAATAATAACCTCACCCATCAAATTAGCTCCTAATTCTATTGCCATGGCTTCATTCAATTTTGCAACCTTTGTAGGCTTACCAAGATTCATTACATACATTTTAGCTTTAACTTCTGCCCAATGATAAACTGAAATTAAACCACAAAAATATAATGTACCGTTACGTGACTATAGAAAGTCTTTAGATAAAAACAATAAGAGCTACATCATTATATGATACAATTATAAAGAATATTGAAACAATTAATTTTAAATTTTTGTTTTACTTACATTGAGCAGGTGGTATGATAAAATATGTTCTAAATACAGGATGATTTTTTGCTTGATTAACAAGAAATTTTGCCAAGGGTTTACTTATTTGTTTAACAAATAAAACTCCCAATTTGAGAGCTGGAAATACACCCACTACCATCCTGCTTTTATTTATTTGTATAAGTAAACTTGAAAATTACACCCTATATACAGATGAAAACCTAAAAATGAGTACTTTACAAGTGAATACGATTTTTCGGAAGACATACGTATTTTTAGTATTAATCATATTTATTTACCAAATATTAGAAACATGATATAACATATCATAATGACATTGTGAAAAAAATAAGTTTCGTGTTATATTTTAAAATCATTACCTCACTTGTGAAAGTACTTCAGAGTATAGCAGACGGTCATACCAGGCCATACTGACATCTCTGAAAAATTATATAGACATGTGCTGGTTACGTTTCTATATATTTATGTATTAAAAGAACTGATCAACATTTTTATTATCTTAATTTTTTCATTCATCAATATTTAATATTCAATTCTACGTGTAAAGTATTTCTAAAGTGTAACATGAATATGTAAAATGAAAATGACTAACTTCATACATGTTAATAAGTGTCTATGGATGGTTTTGATTAGAATTGAAAATTTATATAAGTAAAGAATGATCAAATAAGTGAACAATTTATATCAAATGTTGAATAATAACATGAAATAAAAGAATAAGAGAAATATCAAATGTTTAATTACATGTATTTGAAACTATTAATTTTATATAGGTTAAATAATTAGCAGAAAAGAAATAAACGATGTATAATAAGAAATTTAATGTAAGGAACCGTAACTATTTATTCGTAATATTGGGACTCGCAATGCATTTGATAATACTATGGGGTATACTTGATATAAATTTTCATTCTCCTATTATACAAGACTTGCCAAATGTACCAATTTTGAATAATGCACCAGCAAAAAGATTGGTTTTATTTATAGCAGATGGTTTAAGGTTTAGAACCTTTATTGAAGCACCACCAAAATTTCTCAAGTAAATTTAAATTGTAATTTATTTTAAACTTGATAATTATTATGTATACATTGATATTACTTTGATTATAGGCAAATAATGATAAATAAAGGTGCTTGGGGTATATCTCATACAAGAATGCCAACAGAATCTAGGCCAGGTGTTGTTGCAATTTGTGCAGGATTATATGAAGATCCTAGTGCAATTTTTAAAGGATGGAAAGAAAATCCTGTTGATTTTGATTCTGTCTTTAATCAGAGTTACTTTACATGGGCATGGGGAAGTCCTGACATTATACCTATGTTTACAAAAGGTATTACATATACTGTGAATTTTTTTTTAATATAATTTCAATTGATGTCCATCAAAAATAGGTGCAAAAAATAACATCCATGGAGATAGTTATTCTCCAGAATGGCAAGATTTTGATAGAATGCAAGGTCAAATTTGGCGTTTAGATTCATGGGTATTTGACAAATATATCAATTGGCTTCAGGAAGAAGCTCACAGAAATAAAAATGCAAAACGAATTATTCTTTTCCTTCACCTTCTTGGTTGTGATACTACAGGACATACATCGAAACCTTATTCTAGGTATTAAACTATTATAATCTGATCTAATCTGTAGAATTATAATCTGATTAGTTTAAACTTACATTTAAATATAGAGAATATGTTGATAACATGAATTATGTTGATCGAAAAATAGAAGAGGTGGTACATATGACAGAAGATATTTTTGGAGATAATAGTACTGCATACGTTTTCACAGCAGATCATGGAATGACTGATTGGGGATCACATGGAAGTGGTTCTACAGATGAAACAGAAACTCCATTGATTGTTTGGGGTGCAGGGATTAATGCATTTAATTCTAGTCAAAATGTAGAGCAAGTAGATATTACCCCATTAATATCATCTTTAATTGGTGCTCCTATACCAATTAATAATGAAGTGTGTATAAAAATAATGTTATCATAATTGACTGAAACATTTATTAATTTACACAAAATTTTTTCAGGGTGTTTTACCATGGCAATACTTAGATACTGCTAATCAGAACTATATAAATCGTGTTTTATTAAATAATTTGAAGCAATTAACATATCAAGTAAAAGCAAATCGTATGTTGAACTGTGAGGATAATGAATTTGCAGATTGGAGAGAGGTAGAATTAGATAATAAAATTTTGATGCTAGATAAATATCTTGAGGTAAAAGATTCAAATGAGACATTAAAAGATATAGTAGCTACAATTAAATTAGCCAAAAAGGCTTTAGTATATTTTCGACAATACCAAAGAATACGATTTTTAGCATATTTATCAGTAATGTGGTTTGGCTGGATAACATTACTATTTTTAAAAATAGCCGGAACTAAACGAACTGTTATTAATTCCTCTAATTTATTAATAACAGATATTGTATTTGTAATATTACTATTTACAATACTTATCATGCACAAAGGTATGATATATTATAATGGTGTATACTTATTTAAAGAACTGTTACGTAAATTTTTATACGAATAATAAAGTTTCAGGTTGTAATAATTGGAGGCTACCTTGCTATGCATTGTTAGCTATAATTTCTGTTTGGATAGCTATCCGGAATGCGATTACGCGTTCGATACAATTAAAGATACATAATAATAAACATCATTGGTTAATGGGCATAGAAATAGTTGTTTTATTAGCAACAATGTTCATTGGATTAATGTATAGATCATTTCTCAGTATAGGAATTTTATGCATTGGCTTTTCTCAGAAAATATTGCTAAAAGACATGAAGAATTCTTTTTTTTGGACTGCTTTATGCCTGGCTGTTTTTCCATTACTACCTGTAGTTGAACCGTACCCTCGAGTTTATATTGTGTAAGTTTAAATTAATATCAAATTATATTTATTATGATGTAATTTTAATCGAAATATTAAAACATTCACTTTTCAGACTTCTCAGCATATGTGTTGAGACTATAATAGTTATTGTAAAAGTCTATTCAAAGAGTAAGAAAACAGCAGAAATTTTGCGGCTAGCAATTATAGGGCTAATATATTTAGAATTTATAGATGGTCGAAATTGGATTTCATGGGCAATTTTATTAACTACACCGTTATATATTTGTACCTACCCTACACAATTAAAGGAAAGAATGCAAGGAATTATGTTGAGCCTCTTTTGCCCACTTGTTTTATTATCAGCATCTTATGAACCTTTCTTTTTCATAATTCTTGCATTGCATTTATCTTGTTGGATATCTGACGTTAAAAAAGATGAGAAAAGTGAAGATCTCTTGACAATAGAAGAATTACTCAAAGCAGCAATCTTTGTATCCTTTATTAACACGTTATTTGAAATGAATTTAAACTATTAAACAGTTATTACTATTTCTATATATCCTGAACAATTTATTACAGATGTTATATACATTGTTGTGTTTTTTTGGAACTGGTAACATGGCAAGTATCAGTTCATTTGATCCTTCTTGGACGCGGCATTTTGTGACGGTTTTTTCACCATTTATAATGTTTTCGTTGATACTATTAAAAATTTGTATACCTTTAATCTTGGTGGGATGCACAAGTTACACCTTTGGATCTTCGAATAGTTTTCTAGCGGTAGTATTACTAGGAGACTGTTTAACGCTACCACTTATTTATTGTGTTACTCCTCAAGGGAGTTGGTTAGATATTGGTAGTGCAATAAGTAGATTCACTATTACAATTTCTCTTCCATGTCTTTTATTGTTATTATACTGTTTATCATACCCTCTTATAACTTATTATCCAAATAAATTGAAATTTCATATTAGCTTAAAAAAGCAGCATATTGTATGAACAATGTATATAGTTTTTCTTGATATGGTAAAGTTTATATACATTTGTTATTATCAAAAATTAATATGCTTACAGTAGGTTGGATTTTAAATCTTCGTATATCAGGGTATGGAACAAAATGTAAAATTGTGTCATAATGTGATAGCTGAACATTAATGATTCGCTATCCACTAATTCTTAGATCTATAGTATTAATTCATTAGTATTTCTACAATTTCAAAATAAAAATATCGTTCTTACGGTGTGTCAACTTATTAAATTTAAAATTTGAATTCCTTATATTTTTTAGATGCTTTCGAATCTTGACTCTGTTGACGCTTGCGTTTACTCTGAAAAAGTAAATAAGATTTATTAATTAATAATGTTATATGTATGTACACAATATGCTTACTTTTTGTCGTTGTACATGATCCTGAAGCATATCCGACAAATCTTCCCTTCTCAAATGTGCTTGCCGCGACCTCATAGTTTCTTCGTATCGCGATGCCATTGCTTCGGAATCTAAGTCTAATTCGCTTGGATCTAATGCTAACTCAACAGCTCCATCTTTTTCTGTTCTTCCATCAGATGCTGTTCCACTTACTCCACGACGAGCAGCGATTACAGACGGCGGTGCTTGACCTCCTGCTGCACCTGTCATATCGTATACATGAGTGCTACCCATCATGCTTGCCCCAAGACCTTCTGTTCTTCTTTCTTGTAAAACTGTGTACAAAGCAGGTGTGTCTCCTCCTTCCATTTCACTTTCAATTTTCTTCTTTCTCAATTCTATTGTTTCTGGAGTTTCCAGCCCAGCAGGAATCGATGTAATTCCACTTGGTGTTATCAGACCTTCAGCGCCAGGTGTAACCAGACCACTTGCATCTCCATCTCCATCCTTTCCTTCTCCTTCACCTTCTCCACCTTCTTCAGCATCCTCATCTTCATCTTCGTCTCCAGAAGATTCTGATTCAGGTTCACCCCACATCCCTCTATCAATTTCTTCATCCATATTATCCCCACCTGGAGTACGTGAAATACCAAATACATCTCCATATAAAGGTCTTCCTGTTTCATCCACAGGAGGTTTTCCCCAACCACCAGCATGATAACCAAACGCACACCCCTCTGGAATTGGGGCATTCAAACCAGGTATTTTCAAATTGGGATAACTTGGTGGTGGTCCATAGCGTTGCATAGCAATTAACCATGGTGGCGGTACTTTATGGCAATTTGGACCTACAGGCATGCCAAGAGCGGTGCGTAACTCATCAGATAATTCTCCAGGTTTCTTTTCCTTTAATCGCGTTTCAAATTCTTTACCTTCGTAGTATAAATCACCGTGAATAGTCATACGAGGTTTAGTTTGCCATTTGAAAAACGCGTCGTGTAGTTTCTGATAATCTATATCTATTTTACCGAGTTTCGGCCTTGCCCTTTCCCGCATTTTAGCTTTCAATGTACGCGTGTCATCTCGTTCCTGAAGACTTGCTCTCATTTCTGTGATGCCTGTACGTTTTATAAAATCTGGCAAGTCAAAAGGCGGTTTTTCTATACCACGTTTACCTTGTAGATACTTTCTTTTAAAACACCAATGCCTTGGTACAGGTACTGTATTTCGGTGGGCTTTTAATTGTACAAGGAGTTTTGGATCTCTAGCAGTAACATCATGCATTTCCACAACATCAGGACGTCCTACAAGCTGTTTTAATTCGGCAACGCTCAAACGCGTTAACCTTTTCAGTTTTCTTTTGGAAAGACGAGGAGCACCATTTTCTCCAGTTCCCTGTTGTTGCTGTTGCTGATTTGCATCATCATCAAAATCATCTAACGGTGGAACTTTGCTAGGTACTGTTCCAGTTGTTTGTAAACTAGTTATAGGTGGATATTGACCTATCGGTTCACCTTTATCAGCTTCAGCAGGTTTAGGTTCAGGTTCAGTTAATTTAAATGCTTCGAAAATTCGAGCGAATTGACGATACATTGGCTCTAAATCATTAACACTTGGAATTTCTTGAATATATTCAATTTCAGGTAAGTCTTCTTTTGGTTTTGCATTTTCTATGTTATCTTTCTTATTTTCTGCATCTTTTCCTGTAGTGTGCTTCTTCCTCTTTTTCTTCTTTTTCTTTTTAGTTTTACTCATTTTACCATCTGTTTTCTCTGTTGTTTCAGGCTCAAGTATAACATCATCTAAATGAGAAACATCTTCCCCTACATTTTCATGATTGGGTGACTTTCCTAATGAAACTATGTCATTAGGATCTGCTCCTACTTCTTTAGCTCTTTCTGTTTTAAAAGCAAGAGCTTGTTCCAAAGCTGCTGGTAATTTCATTGAATCACTGTCTCCATCTCTTCCTATATCATCCGATGACGTTTGACTTTGTAATTCACTTGGAGGACTCACTTTTAAGCTTAGTAAACTAGGTAATGATTTAGGGGGATCTATTCCTGGCACTCCATGATTACTATTCGCAGGCATATTCATCAGAGATGACATCTGATGAGCTATTTGTTGATTCTGTATTTAAATTTATTATATTAAAATTAATAAGAAAAATACAGGGTAAAATAAAATATAACTTATACATGCAACTTAATTTAATAAAAACTAAAATAGGACGTTTACAAATATGCACTTTTATGTTATAGAAATAAATCAATACATTTCCTTTTCTCTAAATGAAAACAAAACTAACCTCACTTCCTGGTATATTTTCCATGTCTTTATTTGTTCATATATTAGAAGATTTACTATATCTTAATTCTAATCTTACTGCAATTTAAACAAATATATTATTAGAAAAGGATTTGAATTTCCATTTGCATTAATATCTACATACACCACGTACTGAATAAAATGTTCACCAGTGACTACAGATACAAGAAGACTGGATATGCCTTTGTTCGCGAGGGATCATGATTTTGGGGTCCTAGAGACCCGTACGTGAGCTTATTTTATTTTATTTTTTGATTCAATTTAATCCCGTTTCTTTCGAACTCAGTCGAAATCAACACGAGGACAAAGGAAATCGTTTGTGATTTACAAATATATCATTTTCATTGTTTGTGAGTGAATAATTTTTTAATTATCTACAAGTTTGTTTTAAAATAAATAATTGTAGTGCGCATGCGCAAAATATACTCAACCGTTCGACGTAGAGCGAAGTGAAACATCATCAGTCTTATAGCGACCGCCGAGGAGTGCAGATCTACGTGCCAAACATATACATACTCTTATTTTATTTTCTGCGTTCATTTAATTTGCTGTATCTATCTTCTTAGCTTATTGAATAAACTCTTTAAGATGACGAACGTGTTGATTTTATTACTTTCGTCTGCACCCTTTATATCTTAGATTCCACTATATCTCTGCACCCTCATATCACTGCATTCCTTACATCCCAGCAACCCTTATATCTAAGTATTCCTTACATCTCTGCATTTTTTTCATCCTTACATTCTCTTCATCCCTACATTCTTTTCATCCCTACATTCTTCTCATCTCTACATTCTCTTCAGCCCTACATACTTTTCATCCCTACATTCTTTTCATCCCTACATTCTCTTCATCCTTACATTCTCTTCAGCCCGACATTCTTTTCATCCCTACATTCTCTTCAGCCCTACATTCTTTTCATCCCTACATTCTCTTCATCCCTATATTCCTTTCATCCCTGCATTCTTTTCATCCATACATTCTTTCCATTCCTACATTCCTTTCATCCCTGCATTCCTTACATCGATTCATCCCTTATATCCCTACATTCCTTACATCTCTTCATCCCTTACATCCCTGCATTCCTTACATCTCTTCATCCCTTACATCTCTGCCTTCGCTATATCCCAATATCCCTTACATCCTTGTATCACTTATATTCTGGCATTCCATACATTCCAGTACCTCCCTGAAATTGAATTGAAATTTTTGCGGCTATGAGGCTTGCGATTTCATACAAATTTAGTTCCGTTTTTCGCCACCAGGGGGCGCTGATTCGAGGTCGAAATTTTAGTTCACATTTTTCCCGCTAGAGGGCCAAAATTTCGACATGGTTTAGTACCTTTTTTTGAAACCAGATGGCGCTGATTCGAGGTTGCAATTTTAGTTCACATTTTTCCCGCTAGAGGGCCAAAATTTCTGCATGGTTTAGTTCCTTTTTTTGAAACCAGATGGCGCTGATTCGAGGTCGAAATTTTAGTTCAAATTTTTCCCGCAAGAGGGCCAAAATTTCGGCATGGTTTAGTTCCTTTTTTTGAAACCAGACGGCGCTGATTCGACTTCGAAATTTTAGTTCACATTTTTTCCGCTAGGGGGGCGCTGTATTTTCGAAATTTTCACGAAATTCTCGATGTAAGGAATGTAGGAATGAAAAGAATGTAGGGATGTAAGGGATGAAGAGATGTAAGGAATGTAGGGATGGAAAGAATGTAGGGATGAAAAGAGTGTAGGGATGGAAAGAATGTAGGGATGAATAAAGTGTAGGGATGAAAAGAGTGTAGGGATGAAAAGAGTGTAGGGATGAAAATAATGTAGGGGTGAAGAGAATGTAGGGCTGGTAATAATGTAGGGATTTAAGGGATGAAGAGATGTAAGGAATGTAGGGATGAATAAAGTGTAGGGATGGAAAGAGTGTAGGGATGAAAATAATGTAGGGGTGAAGAGAATGTAGGGCTGATAATATTGTAGGGATTTAAGGGATGAAGAGATGTAAGGAATGTAGGGATGAAAAGAGTGTAGGGATGAAAATAATGTAGGGGTGAAGAGAATGTAGGGCTGATAATATTGTAGGGATTTAAGGGATGAAGAGATGTAAGAAATGTAGGGATGAAAAGAATGCAGGGATGTAAGGGCTACTGAGATGGCCTTGGCCCATAATGAGGGATAAAATTATATAAATAACTGGAAAAAGTATAATAAATGGGGTCCTCGGCTGAGACCCAGAAGAGGGATATAATCATAAATGTTATCCGATTTGAGGAGCTTATTTAATAAGCAAAATAAAATAAATGAAGTAAATTAAATAAACTCTGGAAAAAACTTATCTGGTTGTGCCCCCTTCATACGGTCCTGATATTATCCGGGGTGTCAGGGACCCCGAAGCACCAATGACTATCATTGCATACCGACATTATGGTATCTGGGGTTTCGGAGACCCCAAAGCACCAATGACTCTCTCCGCCTACCGACAATATGGTATCTGGGGTTTCGGAGACCCCAATGCACAAATGACTCCCTTTGCATATCGACATTATGGTATTTGGGGTTTCAGGGACCCCGAGTATCCTCTTGGGGTGCCAAGGACCCCCGTCACCCTCTAAGGGGTTCTGAGAACCCCTGTTACCATTCTGGGGTTCTCAGGCACCCAGAATACAATTCTGGGGTTCTCAGGCACCCAGGGTACAATTCTGGGGTCCTCAGGAACCCCGAATGCAATCTCGGGGTCCTCAGGAACCCCGAATGCAATCTCGGGGTCCTCAGGAACCCCGAATGCGATCTTGGGGTCCTCAGGAACCCCGAATGCAATCTTGGGGTTCTCAGGAACCCAGAAGCAAATAGCGAAATATAAGAACGAAAAACGAACAAATCGTGAAACTCGCTTGTTCGAAGTAGTGATGGGTTTGACCGGATCTAGCGAAATATAAGAACGAAAAACGAACAAATCGTGAAACTCGCTTGTTCGGAGTAGTGATGGGTTTGACCGGATCTAGCGAAATATAAGAACGAAAAACGAACAAATCGTGAAACTCGCTTGCTCGGGGTAGTGATGGGTACGATCGGATCTGTAGCGCATGCGCAGTACCATTATTTATTACCTTAGAAACTTGTAAATAATTAAGAAATTATTCACTCACATACTATGAAAATGATATATTTGTAAATTACAAACGATTTCCAATCAATTACAGTTATCAGTTATCACAAAATCTGTTTATTGTAAAAAATTACTAAAAAGTTTCGGCTCACATCATAATTGAAATAAAGTTGTTAATTACAAAAGAACTAATTTGTTACAAACGTTAAAAATGGAGTCAGAATCAATCACAACAATGTACAAACGAAATACACTAAGAAAAATTAAAAATAATCATATTTTATTATTCCTTCTGGCTAGCTACATGTAGGACTTGGAATCCCAGTATAGCAGAGCAGTGGGGTCCTGGAAACCCCAACAGGGGTCCTCAGAACCCCGGTATCCCAGGTTAGTGGGGTCCTCGGAACCCCAGTACAGCAGAGCGCTGCCGCCATCTATTGGCAACTCGCGGAAACTACTTGTCGAGTAGTTTGCGACTTTCGCCGATAGATGGCGCCAGCGTTCCAGTGTACCGGGGTTCTGGGGACCCCAACTGGGGCTCCAAGGACCCCATTGAAGTAATGCTGGCGATTCCACGGGGTCCTCGGCGCCCCATACGATTGCGGAATGCTATGCATACAGCTTTAAGCTCACAGGGGTGTCTGAAACCCCATTATCTATTCTCCCAGTGACTACTGTACCCACTGCTTGACCCCTCGAGTGCAATAAAAATTTAATTCAAAGTATCAATTAATTATGAAAAAATAACCAATATTGTTTATTGCAATAACAAGAATTTTACTTTACGTTTTACAATCATATCTGAATATTTATTACTAACAATAAGTTTAATAAGATATAAAGGACAAAAATGGTTAAAATTACATGTTACAAAATAAATAAGGAAGATTCAATTCTTTAATGATGATTGACCCATCAAAAAATGATATAAATAATATTTGTATAAAGAAGAAATTCTTTAAAGACAGTAGTGATGTATATAAATATATCTTTGAGCTTATTACAAAAGGAAAATGGATCAAACGGAAAAAGGACTAGTGCATCCTTCCACTTAATGCTTATGTTTATTTATTAATTGTTGCGACGGAAGTCATCAAACTTGAAAATTTAATAAAAATATTCACAATGAGCATTCTTTCCTTCTTTCTCTCTTACATTCTTATCCTTTCTCTCTCACTTTCTCTCCCTCCCTCTCTCTCTTTTTCGCTTCCACTCGTTTTTGTTACGCGCATGGCCGTAACATCTTTTCGTGAGCTAATGCGCGTGGTATGTGCCAATTTAACCGATGTAAGAGCTGATGTCCAACGTTCGTTGGACACTTATGTTGCCTGGTTATGTGTGTATGAATGTGTGGTATGATGTATATGTACATTCAATTATTAATAATAATTATTAATAACAACAATAACTAATTAATACGAATAGAAAATCATGTTTCATGGTGAATGACTTGATTTCATTTTTTTTTTTTCTTAAGATTCGATGAATGTTCGTTCCAGAGTCGTTGCTTCTCGTTCGTACATGTGAAGTATGTTTCAGCAATGTTAATGCATCATGCAGATTCAGTCAAAGGAGGCCTTCAATTTTGGCGAACTGCTGTTTTGAAAATGATCGAAAAAGTTCCAAACAGCGAATGATTCTTGCTCAACGTCAGAGCTGCCAATGACGATACATAAAGCTGGAATATCTTCACTGTGTGTTGACTCTGGCATTAAAATTACAGTAACAGTATGATTCCATTATAACAAACTGATCAATGTTTATCAATTTGTCCAACTGATTGTATTATTGATTCAGTCCAAGATGACAACCATGTCATCGCCGCGTACTGCTCTCTGCGGATGAGGAGGATGTAACGGAGCTGGTAATCTACGCCATGGTTTACGCGCTGCTCTTCGAAGTTCCACAGATGATAGGGTCCTTCTTAGTCTTCTGTGAATTAATAATAACATTGATTTTAATCAACTTTCCTCTGGCGTGGTCAACGTGTATCTATGACATTAACAAGAAGCACTAACTTGGTTTGATCCGAAGCACGAAAGTAAACGTCATCAGGTGCGTCCATCCATGAAATTACTTGTTTGCGCGCATTACTTCTGGATATGGGTGGACCATGAGGCAAAGTATGAGGGTGAGCAGCCCTTCCATTGAGAGGTGGTGCTAGTGGAAGAACAGCAGGCGCAGAATGTTCCAAAGCATGTTTTGGATGTAGCTGCTGAGAATGGTGAGCCCTTTTTGCAGGCGGTCCACCAGGGAGCCCTGCACTTAGGGCAATACCTATTGAAAACATAAATATTCATAAATTGTACATTTTAAAATAAAATGATAAACTATGATTTAACAGTTTTGATTATTTGTTTGATTTTATTGTACTTAGAATTATTTTACCTTCATCCCAATCCACATCAGAGTAGAAGCCAGTAAACAAAGATCGCATTCAGTACTAGGATTTAGGACCTTACAGCAATATATTAATGAAATGCATGATTCTAGAGCTTACCATCTGATCCGTTGATCTCATCGAATGGAGGTCTTGTACGTTTTAATATTGTTTGCTGCGTTTGCATACTGGGTTGCGGTTGAGGGGGAGTTACCGTCAGTCTATCTACCTCAGCTTTATTTGGTACTCTTTCATATAATAGACTTCCATCTGCAATACAGTATTGTTACAAAAACATTAAATACCCTCTATAAGATAGAGAGATGTGAGCAGCGCGTGTACCTGGTGCTTTTGGCGGTCTGGGGAAAGATACACGGTCGGGTTGTTTTCGTTGTGCAGGGGCTGTAAGAGCTAACCAATCCCAATCCCCGGGTTGCCGTGGTGCAGGGTGATCACCTAAACGCGTCGCTATGTCAGTTACACGAGGGCGAGGCCGAGGCCGTACAGCGCGTGCTAAAATACGTAATTCTGCAGGGCTTTTTGACGTTAACTGAGGAGAAGCGCAAAGATGTCGCAATGGTGCTGCATTTACAGGTTGATGAGGCGCTCGTGCTGCGTGACGTGTGCGTAATTGAGCTGCACATAATCGTCGCGCAGCTCGTGCTAATGCTGAAGTACGTAAATAAAATGCGGATCGAGTTTTCATCACAGGTCTGGGAGATCCACCTCCTCCCCCTCCGCTTACTCCACTGCCACGTAAATCAACGCCATGAGCACTTGCATAATGGCGACTCAGATGCGCTTTAAGTTTGAACTCTTTACCACAAGAAGGAATGCTACATCGATGAGGTCTATGAGCACCACTAATTCCTTTGCTTTCCTCGTCCGAACCCGTACATCCTCTTTTTCTTTCCAAATCAACATCGTCGATACGCGATGGGACCTAAGTACAAACATTTTTGTTAAAAAAGAAAAAAGAATAGAGACTACATTACTCGAGTATATTGATGTAAGTATACCTTAAGACCGCCGTACTTTTTCCAATAGGTCCAACAAGATTGACAAAGACGACATTGCATATGCGACGGACCCCAAGCATACCACTGTGGACTCTGCATAACTTGACAACTTTCACATGGTTTTCCGCTAACCCCAACCATTAATATTCCACTGTTATCAGATGCCATATTGCCATTACTATTGCCATTGAGAACACTAGTTGGTTTTCCATTGCTGTTACTATTACTGTTACCAAGAGGTACAATCGTTGCCGCAGAAGGTGCAGTCGTAGGCGGAGTTGTCTTATTATAGTTTGGTATATAAACCTGTTTTAATTTACTTTCAGCTTCCACAGCTTTTACCCTCTTCTGTTGTACGTATCTATCGGTTGTTTTCCACATATAATAATATTCAATTACATTTTTTAATGTTTTCCATGGTAACTAAAGAGAGAATATATGTACATGTATTAAAAAATATAAATTTAGATTTAATTATTAGACGTCTTACAAATGGATACTTACGAAGTCTTGACGTATATCGGAAAAATCCTTTCCATACTTATCAAGTGCTTCTTCAAAAAGATTCGCTTCGGATGCACTCCATTCTTCCATTTCATCTCTGCATAATACTGGACCAGTGCTGGGTACTAGAGATGACATTGCTTTCGCAACATCGTAATTGTGTCGATGCAAAGTATCCATTGCATGAAACTGTAAATATACATAGGTACAGAGAAAGTTCCTTTTTTAAAGATGTACAGTAATAAGGACAATATTTACAAGAGTAATGTCTCTAGACGCAGCTGCTGCAGACATATGCAAAGAGGGTTGCTTAACTGAAGATGAACAATCTAAAGCTCTTGCAAATGTGCCTACAGATCTACTGACAACGAGAAACTGATCAATTTGACGATCCGTTAATGAATGCCGTGGCGTCCATACCAAAGTTTCTAAATCTTGCAACCTACGAGGATCTGATTCTCTTTCAGCAGGTGTCAACGGGGATGGCGCTATACCATCAGCTTGATATCGACTACCTACTCTAATTTCACCTATAATAATTAACATTTATTAAAGTTACAATAATCGTATATTTTTTGACTGATAAATACCTTTGTCAGCAAGTAAAGTACGTTGGGCAGGATCGAATACTAAGCAATAAAAGAAAGAATCTTCTTTGTTTAAATAGCTTAGTAAAGATTCTGTTTCATTTAACAAAGTTACACAGCATTTTCCCCTTATGTGCGTTGCCGGCATTGTTTCTACCTGACGCGATAAAAACAGTTCTCTGTGTTTCATTTGATGACGTTGTTTAGAACTTAATTCTGTAACTCCTCCAGCACCAACAACATTTTCTTCCATCCCTGTATAAAGATAATTTAAATTAGATTAAATTATATTTTGTTTATACATTTTTAAAATAAATATTGCAAAAAGCTTATAATAAAATAAATATTTCACTTAAAGGTAAAGAAAGTAAAAGAGGCCAGAAAGATTTAGTACTTAAAAAATTTGCATGATTTCATTATTTTATTTAATACATAAATAATATAAATTCGAAATAGAATTACTTATAATTTCAATAGAATATTTTCCGTTTGTAAAGATATCCCCCAAAGTTATTAATTTATTCATGCAATTTGAATTATTTATTATTAATGTTGTTATTATTATTTTAATATACATAAATTAAATGTAAATGAAACGCAGGAATGTGGCAGAATCAATCAAAACTTACAATACTGAACTAAAAATATCAGCAAGAGCGGGCAACAAAAGAAAAGGAAATAAAAGCACTCTTAAGTGATATACCACCTATCATAACAGAAATGAAATTAATATTTAAAGAAATATAAAATTGTTTGAAGAAGCCTCAGATTACTAAAGAATTATCATTTTATACGGCGGGATTTTGAAAAATTAATTAGGAAAATTTTAGTTGTGAGTGTTTTAATGAGCATGAATTTTATTGAATGATTTACTACAATGATCTTTTGAGAAGATGGAATAGATGATAGATATGATAAAATAAAAAAAAAAATAAAGGCGATATTATGACCTTATCATTAGAAAATATTTGGGTTCATAGAATTTTGTATTTAATACTGAAACCCCTTTCTATCGATCTTGAATCAAGAGGTTGTAGTAAAACCCAATTTATTGTCTCTTTGGCCTTACAGTGAATTCAGCCTTAACTTATGGCATTCACCAAGATTACAAAGAAGTTTAAATCCCGCCGCTAGATCATTAGCCTTACATCATCACTGGCTTCTATACGGGACTAACAAGACAATCAAAAGGTGCATATGAAATACACTTACTGATGAATTCTAGCAATTAAGCACATTTTCATATGATGCTGATAAAATTCATCTGTAAGGAGCACCTCTTAATTGACTGCTCACTCACCATGAGGCTCTTGGGCCTCTGATAGTGGGGCCTTCAGCCAGCCCCCCTTCCCGCCCCCTTTGTTCATCACTTTGGGCCCGATCCCATCTTTATTTGTCATTTCCTTAGTAGTATCTGGATTCTCGAGTTTCTGACTCTGCGTGTTCGCAGGGGATTCTGACCTCTGCTGCTCCGCACTTGCCACTGCAATTTGTATCATAGAACCCACTCTACTATGTCTCATTTTCATTTTAATCTCGTTTTAATACAATCTTAACATGCTTTATACTTAAAAAAAAAAAAAAGAAAGAAAAAAAAACTGAAAATATGTAACATCTTCTAGCTTAGTTACATTTTTTGGTCATTAACATATGAACAATCAATACTTTTATAGTGTAAAGAACAATTTTGATTCTGTCAACCAATTCCAAACGCGTTTCTATTTACAATTGAACGTTAAGATGAAGACGACAGTAATGAAAGACTTGACAAGACTTCAAGAGTAAGATGAATTTAGAAATATTTTAATTTGAACATCGTTAGTAAAAAGGGATGAAGAAACCCTGAAAAATACTTGAAATTTAAAATGTATAAACATTTTTCATGTAAGAGATTTAATTTTTGACGAAACCTAGTTTACATATTTTTTTTTTTTCTGAAATTTCAGGTACAGAAGAGTAAAGTACAGAAATGGTAAAGGAAAGGGAGAGAACCCGATTCGAAGCAAATACCGGTGGACGGACATAGAGCTACGGGTAGAGATTGGACGGAGGGGGGCAAAGAGAAAGAAAGAAACAAAACGAAACAAAAGAGTGTACATTCACGAATATATACGTACGTAGGATAGAAAAGAAGAGGAGAGAGCAAAAGAGAAGCAAGGGAGTAAATGCTTAAAACGAAGATGGCTAGTGGGGCCCACCATTTTCGCCAGGAATATATATATATATGTATATATATATATATATACAATATACATATACATATACGTATGTATGTGCGTTCCTGTTTCTCTCTACCCGGTTATTCGTATGTGTCCATGTGCCAGTATCGTATGCGTCTATCGGTGTTCTTACAAGTCTGTGTTCGAGTACACGTAACACATACCCGACCGACCCCTGCGTCAGTCATTCATTTAGTTCAGGGTGGCGGGAGGCAAAGAGGGGTGGTATGAGGGACTTGAGTGAGAGAGGTAGAAAAAGGGGGAGGTGGGTTAGCGGGTGCACCACCCTCAACCCACCCCCTGCAGATCGATACAACCCCCATTTCACCCCTCTGCCCCCCCAACTTTACTTATTATACATTCCCACCCCCAAATACCCGCGTCTCATTATCTTTGCTATTACAAAGGAAAAATCGAGAAAGCTTTAGAAATACATATATATTAAATTACATAAAATTAAGGGAACCTTTTTTTATAAAACTATATTATTTTTTCTGTATTTAAGACAAAAAAATAATAAACTGTTTTTATCAATGGTTCACTTGAGTTTATGCATATATTTCAGAAATTTGAAATTCTGTTTCCATTACCTTAAATCGTTTGAATCCACAAAGATGAGTATTTAAAAAAAGGACGTAATAAATACAGTTTCTTAATAATATCGATTGCGTTAACGTCTATCGCGCGATTTCTTCCGTTACCAATCACGTACCAATATGTGTAACAGAACGATTATCAATTTCTGGAGGATCTACTCATGATTATATAAAAAGGATCTTTCGTGATATTTGAATAGATTTTAATATCGTGTATCAATAATTATCGATTTCATATTGCAACTCCAAGAAAAATAAATACTGTTTTATGTATACTCAGACCATCAATAATACCATTAATTTCTTAAAATATTAATGCTCCATAATAAATGTACCTAGTTGAATGTGTGATATTAATTACATAAGAGTACATTAAATTTACAAAAACTATGCACCTTCAGATGTTATGTAAAACAAATCTACTTGAATAGTTATTAAATATTAAAATGAGAATCGGTAAATACTATGATCTATAAGAACTGAATAAGTATATTTTATGTCTAAGTATAACATGTATTTTTTTGTAGCAAGTATCAATTCTACTTACACTGATGTTTATCTGCAAGCATGATTAATGTAGAAGGTAAATCCCTCCGCCTAAAGAAGCACATAACTTTTGCTTCAACATTTCCACTTGCCGTCTAAAATAACAAATTAAACACAATAAGTAAAACTGAACAATACATACAATGATGTATTGGAAAATTCTTACCTTATTTAATTCTTCTATCCTTCTTATTTGGTAGGGAGATGTGGAAGATGTTTCAAAATATACATAATCTATAAATAAAAAAAAAGGGTATATGTAGTAAATTTGTAAAAATAATTTATAAATATATTCAATTACATTTTAAGCACATCAATAATTTTATTAGATAAATATAATATACGCGCGCGCGCGCGTTTCTGTGTACATATGTATACTCATAATTAAAATTTGATTGCTATAAATAAAATCGTAATATTACACATATTCGGAAAACATTTATTTACTAATGTCTGTACAAAATAAAATAGCAGTATATAATGTTAGAAAGCACATGAAAGGAAAACATATCGAAAAATAAAGATGTACATCATAAAAGTATTTGAAAATATTTAATAAAATAACAACAGAATATGAAAATCTGAAGTTTGTATTTGTCATGCGAACAGTGGTAGAATGCAGCGCATTCTTAGATGCTCATCTTTTTGTACATGAATAACATTGGAGAAAAAAGAAAAAAAAACAGCAAGATCTTTTCGCGGAAATTATATTGGTTTTACAGACTACTGATTAGTATATAAAAACATTCGATAATCTATCCGAAAAAATTGCTCGAATTTAAGGAAAAAAGGGATGTATCCTGAAATATTGAATTTTAATCATCCAAATCATCCTGCAAGAAATTAGTATGACCTGAATGAAGGGCGAGAGTGGGGAAAGAGGGAGCAGAAGGAAAGCAGACGTACATACGGACGCCAAAAAAGAGCGAGAAGGAAGGGAGATTCAGATATACAGAGGAAAGTTGAGGTGCTGCGCGGGTAAAATGAAGACATAGGGGACGCCATTGCGATCCATTTGCAAACATTAATTTCTCAAGTTAATTAAAGCCGCGCTCGAGATTCGATGCGTGGCCATCAGCCGGCAAAATATATATATGTATGTGTACATGTATCTATGTATATATGGTTACTTTACCTCCCACCCGGTACATGTTGGCCGTCATGTTGCTGGCGTCCTGTGTGGCCCCGAGAGCGAAATTAGCGTTCTCGTGGTTACCGTGGTTTTCGTGGTATTCGGCCGGCATCGGCATGAAGGCTTTTCGTCCTCCAAGTACGCGAATGTAACAGCCGACACTTCCCACTTGTCCACGGAGTCAACACTTCGCGGTGTCACTCCATCGTGTTTGTTTGTCCCTGATCGACGGAAAAAATCGCGCTTGCTTCTATTTTACTCGCATTTACGTTCTATACGCTACGATATAACACTGAACGAACTTCGTAAATGCACACAAGATATGTAAAAATCCCACATTCGATTTGGCTCACGTGTCTGTTACCGTAACGAGCATCGTCAGTGGCCGTTGCTCCGTTCATACAGGAACACCGCCATTTTCATTTTGCCGAGCGGGCTACATATACCATCAAGCAATACTGCTTGCTCCCCTCTACCGGAGCTGGGTTCACTTGCTTTCTTCAAACCCGCGTGTATTCAAAATTCTATCAAGACGTTCGATTAGAATCGATTCGTATTATTAGTACGTTCTACTTAATACCGGGAATTTATTTTTACAATTTTTTGGTGAAAAAACATACGATTGGAACGACACAACCCGGTCAACGAATACCACAAAACAAGGCCACGGATCGGATACTACCAAGACCCGACGATACCGCGGTCTCCAGAGCGACTGCGTGACTTTATCGAAGAGTGGGGGTACCTAACGATACGGTGCCAATTTTTTAGCGCACTCACCAATGGGACCGCGAAATTCAAACTCTTTTCTTTATTTCATTTAGGTACAACGCATCGCATAATTACTAATTAAGATCTCTATCGTAATACTTATTGAAGGTATTTACATAAAGGTGATTAAACTTAACGGATAGTATTGCAAATATTAAAAATCATATACCTTAGTTATTTTTTATTGAATAAATATAAATTTACTTCGGATTTAAATATATTTACAATAAAAGAAATCTTATAAAACCGGATAAACATAAAAACACATATAACGTGACAATAAATGAAAAGTTCTCGTATAGTATATGAAATATTTATATATTTACGAAATTAGTCTTTCTATACAATTGCTTGCGCGCAGTCACATATTTCATCTGTTTCAATTAATAAAAAAAGTATATAAATGAATAATTAAAATTACTCACTAGTTTGTAGAGCCTGTGTGAGCTTGCCTTTGTGAAAAATGTTTGGTAATGCGCCTGACTAACAATAAATAGTGACGAATGTCGATTTGATGCAAATACGTAACGTAAAGTTATATTCATATATACACAGTACTAATAGTAGTAATAGTAGTAATAGTAGCAATAGTACATACTCATGAAAATGTTTATAATTTAGTTTGTTGCAATTTAGGTAATCATTTAAGGCACACCCCACGGTCTTTACCAAGCAATTTTGTTTTGTTTACTAATATTATATAAATAAATGTATACTGTTGTGGATGCTATCAATCTAAATTTATTATCATATTACTATTCGTAGGAATAATTATTTATACTAAATATAGGTAATAATCTGTTCTGTACATAATTCTATGTCTTTCTTATGAATCTTTTAAAATGAATAGTCGTTTCATTTATTAATGATAATAATGACAGTAACGTTAGTAAGAATAACAAGATAATGTATAAGTGAGATGCGCAAGGTGAGAGCATGCTCCATTTTTTCATGGTGGTATCTGAATCATGAGTAGTAAAAGTAATTAACAAACGAACATCGAACTTGATACGTTATTAATACGTGAAAATGTGAACACATTTATGCAACTTCTGTAGTAAAAGAATTGTGAAAAAAAATACAATTTCTGTAATTTAACAAAGAACAATGAAAATACACGAAGTAAAAGATTATGCAACATACATATTTTCAATTATGTATTACATACATGATATTAATTACAATAAAAATTGTATAATACTACTCATGATTTAATTTAATATTAATATAAAATACCTATGCCAACTTAGACAGTTTATGCATTTATATGTACAAGAATAGCACCCAGACTTTGTTTTTCTGGTTGCATATTTCTACTTACTATGATACTACTGTTAACGAATAAAAAAATACTAATATATCGCATTGTCGTTGCACGGGCAGTGTTTACGCAGTTTTGTCCATTTATAAGGCACCAACTTTTAGGATCCTGAGATTCAACCCGCATGCTTCGACAGATTTAGAGGCATATCTATAAAATACAGCAGGAAAAAATGAAATTAGTGTTCATTACGATGTTCAATACATTTGAAATATATTTTTTAACATATACCTGAAGGAGGTGTGAGAGTTTGTTCCCTATAGTCTTTGTAATGATGAACTGGAGGAGATGGGGGATGAGGTGGTGGTGGTGCATATAATGGCATAGGAGGTGGATAATGGACGGGTGATGGATAATGCATCCATAAAGGAGCTCTGTATGGTCCAGGAGGTAACATTGGTACACCGTAAAGCGGATGCTGCAGAGGTGTATTGGTTGTACCAATATACGGTTCCATTCGTACCCTCGGATATGAGTTACTTGATGAGTATTTCGCAGTTTGTCTATCGTCTGGTTTCAATAAATTCCTCAGAAAACCTTGTTCGTGACTTGGTTTGTCTTCTCCCAATATACTTGTTATACTGTACGACGATAATTGTTTTGGTGAAGAAGTAGGAGCAGTTGTTGTACATACAGGCTGTGGTGTTGCACGTCGTTTCGATGCCTGATCTTCCAACGAAACTTTTTCTAATTCGCGTAAAATACGTTTGCGAGGTGAAACAACATTAGGATCTAGCAGACGCGCCAATTTGTCGATAATTAGGTTTAAAACCTTTCCTGTTGGTGTACCGTTTGCTTTACGTATCGGTTTAGTATAATTTGTTACCGATTCTGGAACAAGTAACAAAGAAGTAGGATCTAGTGGACGTCTACGCTTTCTTGCGATCAAGCGAGGATGCGCGCACAAACGATTTCTTGGGTTCCTATAATAATAAAAATTGAACTCTGTAGATATCCTACGTCTTGGGTTTGCTTGTTTCCAACAATGATCTCTTTGCCAAGGACTTGACTGAACTGATGAATTATCATCAGAAACTGGAAATATCGGTAGGATTAGAATTGTTCAATTTCATAGGAAATAGATACTGCATACTTATAAACTTACCACTAAGAGATGTTGAACTCTCTTGCCTATTTGGAGTTGTACTGGCTGGTGGCCAAAATGTTTTCTTTGGGACTGGAAACCATGTGGTTCTTTCTCCATCTCTACGGTGGGAAAGTTCCAAAATAAATTTTCCATCTTTAAAAAATTTTAATCTTCCACCGGGTGTCGGAAGTAAATTGCTGTCGATATGTGCTTCTGAATGATGAGTTGATTGTGGGCTTGAATTTTTACCATTTGCCTTGGTAAGGGTTGAATGCAATGTAGAAGGATCACGTGAGCACATTTCTGTTGTGCCCCTCACGTGACCTGCGTGAGCATGACATTCTGCTGACTTCTCACGCATGCTGACACTTTACCGATATCCATTTTTCTCCGCTTGACCTTTCATACTTTAGCCTCTTAATATCAGTTTATAAAAAGAGGCAGGACTATAAGGTCCTTCTCTTAAAGCTGTGAATGATAATTGATAGAGACCTGCTAAAGTACTTTCATTTCAAAGTTTAAGGTAAGCATTTTTTACCAAATAATTGTATAGAACAAAATATCAGATATACAATCAAAAGGAAACTATTCACAATAATGTCAATATTAGTTAATTATATATGTTCCTTTCGATAGTAATAATATATATAACAATTTAGAAGCATAATTACATTCATGTTATTTATTTAAAACTGTCAAACTGACACTAGCCAAATATAATTGACAGCAAGAACAGCGTTGATGTGAAATTTAACTGATATTTTTTTTCTTATGTCTAAAAAGATTTGCATGAATAATGTGCCAATTAATACATATCAATTGAACAGAATAACACTGAATATAAAAGTACACTATCATTAGTCCGATAGCAACATTTTGTGCAAAATTCCAAAAGGAATTTTATGTACATGAGTGGCAATCGCTAGACACCCACCCACCCACGCACTGCCGCCTTCTGCAATAAGTTTTATTCCATTTCGAAGAAGCAACTCATCACATTAATCGACGTGTTTAAACTCAAACACGTTAATTTTCTCAAGATTATTGTAACTGAAATACAAGTTGGCTTTCTAAACGTGAGATTTTCACGGATCAAACACGGGACGGACACTCTAGAGTGGAAAACACGGTTTGGCCGACACATGTGTTTCACTTCACCCACGAATGGTTTACGTGTCCACAGCAGTTGAGTTTATTCGTTCGATGACCCTTTAGAACGTGCATCCACCATCGTTTTCCTCGTGATTTTCGCTGTTCGGATGTAAAAAAAAAAACAAGAATTTCTCGCCTTCGTGTATCCTTCTTGTCGACAACACTGTGGCGGTTCGCGGTCCGCGCGTTCCTCCGTTTCTTGGTCCAACTCCCACGATCGGTCTGCAACACTTCCTTTAAACCACAGAGTTATATTGAATCTACTATGCTTAATACTCAGAAAAGCTAGTTTCTCCTATCACTTTTAATCCATATTTCAATATTTCAATTGATTCATTTTATTATAAATTCGGCTCAGATTTTAGATATTTCTCCACCAGAAAAATTAACACTGCAATGTAATAACGATTTGGTAATTGAAATTCCGTCCTATTGTCGTTTGAATTTTGCTTGCTATGAGCAAACCAATCAGATTCATGTCTCTTGGTATGGATGAAGTTTGGCGCGAAATCATTTTAACTATGGATATTATACTTAAGCATACAACATGCAACTTTTAGAAGAATATCAAGAATTAATTGAGCGTGATATGGATGAAATTTCCGCGCTGTGGAAATATATACAAATGTTTCTTTATCTTTTATGTACGATCAGCGGATATATTTGTAGTGTTTTATTCTATATATTATGGGTATAATTAATTACAATTTTATTATATCTAAAATATAAAATCCATTATCTTATTGTAAAACTTTGATAGCAAGGCGGTTTTGGAGGCGATTGTTTGCTCTGGGCAAAATTTATTATACTGGCAAAAGCAGATCTAAATGATATCCCTGAGCTGTATGAAATTAGGTCAAATTATACAGACTGGTGGAAATATGTTGTTATGGACTCCGAATTTGTACATAAATGTAACATATATTTAATAACATGTTTTTTATCTTGCATACTTGGAATTACATGGTTTACCTTTTTCTTTATGTGTGGGAAAGGTGGATATAATGTGGCAATGCAAGTACCTGTAACTTACATTATTAATCAAAAATTAATAAAAACTTATGTAATCAATATTATATTGATGTGTAGATATGAAAGCCCATGGAGAATTGTCTTTCCTGCAGTATTAGTTAACTTTTTGTTTACAATAATGTCTATGTATGCAAACTACAATTTTCAACAAGGGCTTAAGGAATTTAATAAAAATATAAAAAATGTTTTCTCTGAAATATATCAATCTACCATTGAATTAAAGGATGTAAGGTATTGGATACAAGTTACTTTACTATATTTTTAACATACTATTTTAACAATAAATTTGCAGTGAATGTGACATCATACAATCATATGTAGAAATGTCTAATTTTCATCATTATGATATGTGCAAAACATTATTATGGCTGCAGTTGTTTTCAATCATAATGACGTGGAGTTGGATTGGAGGACTAATAATACTGATAATGAGAATACTAATAATCGTTGATTTTAGGATTTTAAAAGTTACAATTTATAAGCTACCACTCAATATTTTAGACACTGTTAATCAAGACAAAACAACAAAAGATAATGACGAAAAAGACAGAAAGAAAAAGTAGTTTTAGTACAAATTGTATTTATCAGTATAAGTATGATCAATGTACATATCAGTATATAAAAATTTTAAAACATAATCTATATATATTTGCAATTAGTCATATGTTTGTAACATTATGATTAACGTATTTTCTACATTATAACAATAAATCTATTAATAGTAATATACTTCTTTTCAACACTGATATTTCATGATAGTAAAAAATATGCTATTTCAATTGCCTATAGTTACACTAATATATTTATGGTCATCTTATAAATTTGAATCCTTTAATTACTTCTTTAGATTGATACCAGCAGTAAGGAGAATGTGTATTATTTCCATTTGAATTATTTAACAATTGAATGTCCCTACCTTTATTAGTGTTGCAGTCTGATACTTCATTATAAACTTTTACTAAATCTATACAATTACAATCTACTTTGACTTGATCACTATGTTGCAACTTAATTACAAAATAATTAGAAGTATGTATTGGAGGTATATACTGTGGTTTAGGTAAAAAGAATTCTGATATTGCATTACTATCGCTCTTTTGTATCAGTACAAAAGTATTTGTAGGATGTAATGGTGAAGTCAAAGCATCTTGAAACTCTGAACATTCCAACATTGATCTGAAAATATTTTATTATATTTGAACAACAGTAATAACAATGTAATATATTATTCCATAAATATTCATTTTACTGACCTCATTAAATTTAAAAGAGGTTTCCTAGAAGCATGTTTATATTCATGATGATCTTGACTACTAAGAACATCAGAGGGAAATTCCACTCTAACATGTAATCTTGGTGATATTATAGTAGCACCGATAAGTATAGCAATTTCCTTGATTTTACATCCTTTAAGATGGAATTGTGAATTCAATTGCTCTGATGTATTCTTTAAGGAATTTAATAAAGATTTTATAGAAGACAAATTTCTATCAGTGATTTTCATTTGTAGCTGATTTAATGAATCATATGTAAATGGTATTTGCTGTTTCTGATATAAGATATATTTTAGTAATTCAATTACGAGTTTCACGCAACTGTTACTTGTCAAACGTTCATCAAGTGTCACATTAATATTCATTTTGATTTCTTTCTTTCTTCAAATTGTTGTATACAAATACATAACCTGATTCAAACGCTTCCTCTATCTTTTTTACTAAAAATACCAACAGTATATTTTTATAAACTTAGAAACACATTTTTTGTAATAAATGTAACATAATGTGTACGAGATTAAAAAGAATCACAGTTTTAAACCATAGTTTTAAGTTAGAAATATTTTTTGTAAGTATGCCGGTCACTGGTGCAATGCGAAGTGTTTCACATATTTCTGTTAGGACAGAGTAGATGGCGTCCATTTTCAAGGCATAAATTCAAGTTATTAACGAAAATGGCGGAAGTAAAGTCACGTCGTGTTGCCCAAACAGAAGATTTATCAAATGTTGAATTTGAAACCAGTGAAGATGTCGAAGTTATTCCAACGTTTGATAATATGGGACTTAGAGATGAGTTGCTACGTGGAATTTATGCCTATGGTATCGTTGGAATTCTGTATTTTGTAATAACCTTGTTTTCCATATCTTACCGTTCATTTTACTCTTTAATTTTATTCGTAGGCTTTGAAAAACCATCGGCTATTCAACAACGGTCAATCAAACCGATAATGAAAGGACGGGATGTAATTGCACAGGCTCAGTCTGGTACAGGAAAGACAGCAACATTCTCAATTGCCATATTACAATCCTTAGATACACAAGTTAGAGAAACACAAGTATTAGTTTTATCTCCTACAAGGGAATTGGCAACTCAGATTCAGAAAGTTATTCTGGCTTTGGGAGATTTTATGAATGTTCAATGCCATGCTTGTATTGGAGGCACCAATCTTGGTGAAGATATCAGGAAGTTAGATTATGGGCAACATGTTGTATCAGGCACACCTGGAAGAGTATTTGGTAATTTATTTGTATAAAATATTCATTTACTTGTGTACAAGTAAATAAAGCTAATAGCTTTGTGATATTTTCAGACATGATAAAAAGACGTGTCCTAAGAACCAGAGCAATAAAAATGCTGGTTCTTGATGAATCAGATGAAATGTTAAATAAAGGATTCAAAGAACAAATTTATGATGTATATAGATATTTGCCACCAGCAACACAAGTTGTATTAGTATCTGCCACATTACCCCATGAAATTCTAGAAATGACAAGTAAATTTATGACAGATCCTATTCGTATTCTTGTTAAACGGTAAGTTCAGTTTTTATTAGATTTAAAACGAATAATTTATTTCAATTAATTCGTTAAATTTTGCAGTGATGAATTGACATTGGAAGGAATCAAACAATTCTTTGTTGCTGTTGAAAGGGAAGAATGGAAATTTGATACATTATGTGATTTGTATGACACATTAACAATCACACAAGCAGTAATATTTTGCAATACTAAACGTAAGGTAGATTGGCTAACTGAAAAAATGAGAGAGGCCAATTTTACAGTCTGTTCTATGCATGGTGATATGCCTCAAAAAGAGAGGGATAACATAATGAAAGAATTTCGTTCTGGCCAAAGGTGACGAGAGTTTTCTAAACATATATAATGTATGATTATGTTGTAAATCGAATTTTAAATTAATATTGCTTTGGTTTTTTTTATCGTACAGCCGTGTTTTAATCACAACCGATGTTTGGGCAAGAGGAATAGACGTACAGCAAGTATCTCTCGTAATCAATTACGATCTACCCAACAACCGTGAGTTATATATCCATAGAATAGGTCGTTCAGGTCGTTTTGGAAGAAAAGGCGTTTCGATCAACTTTGTGAAAACCGATGACATTCGAATTCTTCGGGATATCGAACAATATTATTCAACGCAAATTGACGAGATGCCTATGAATGTAGCTGACTTAATATAATCTTAATACTTATCATTGTATTAAATAAGATTTTTTCCTTCAGTTCTGTTTTCACTATATTTTTTTAATAATAAAAGAAAAATTGATTTTCGGAGTGACATTACTCTTATAAGAGGTACATTACTTTTATAAAGTATAAAACAAATGCATTTTTGCAGTTAAATGTTCAATTTCTAAAAGTAATGTAAAAGAATGTAATAATACAAATAATAAAAAAATTTATAATTAATAACGTAACAGAGAAGTGAACATCTTGTGTTGTAATAAACAACACTATATTTAATGTATTTAAGTTTAAGTACTAGATTTAATGAAAATGTTACATAGTATTTATCATACTATTAATATAGTTTAATAAATAATATATAATACATTAAAAACATGTTTCATTTTATTTTATTGAAAAGAAAGACCACGAAGATCTGTTACTGTTGAGGTGAAATAATCAATAAATTGGTTCTCGGATTTAGATGGCAGCAGAGCAGTGTTTTGGTTTAGTATCTTTCGAAAATTAATTACGATTTATCGCGAGAGTTGATTTGTCCTGTTGAAATAAAGGACATTTTAATTCTAACTAGTATTCATACTATTCAATATGTGAAGTGGTGATCAATATCATTCATGGGAACGATTATATGATGAAACACCTAGTACTTGGTTCAATAACAATATTTAAGAATGAAGATAAAATATACGGAACGATTAACGAAGTAAAATACAATGTTAACGGAACACTGTAAGTAGATAACAAATTAAAAATCATGGATACACAAGAAGATTGTACAATTCGTCGAGGGCAACCTGTTCGAAGGGGACATACATCGGCTTGTAAGTAACAACATCATTTACATAAAAAATGATATTTTATTTGATTCTAATACTACTTGATTTAGCACCGATGGTAAACCAGTCCCAGTATTTAAATGTTGGAAGATCTATCGTTCGAATAGCTGTATATCTGATGACCGAAGTTTTTCTAACAATGGACATAGAACAGAATTCTACTGCACATCAAATTCTTACTATGATACAGTCTGAAGCAGAGCTAGGATTGGCAAGAACCCCATTACCTACTGGTCAAACAGTCTTTGCCTTGTGGCTTTGTTCTTCGAAGCTTGAAGTTCAACTAAGACCAAATCACAAGCCTATCGAATTGGCTACAAAGTGGAATCGTTTAGTGAAAAAGTATAGCTCTGAAACAGAAGACACTGATGAAGAACCCTTACTATGCCTTCGAAGAAACGTATTTCTTTCTAGAGCAGACGAGGAGCAAATAAAAGAAGCTAAAGTATTGGAATTATTATATGCAGAAGCTAGAAATAATGTTTTACAAGGTAAGCAATCTCGTTGAAGTTAGAATTAATATAGTACTTTATGTCAACATGTTTCAGGACGTTATCCATGCGAAGGGCAAGCACGATATGCCAGTTTAGGAGCGTTGCAAGCACGCATTGAATTAGGACCATATAATCCACAAAGTCATACCTTAGCTTTTTTCAGAAGACACCGTGGTCGGTTTTTACCTCATCATTATACTTCTCCTAGTCTATTATTGGGTCTAGGTCTTGGATTAGGTTTGGTAGGAGGAAAAGGTGCTCCCGAGGCTCGTCTCCTTGAACAATATAAACGAATACCTAATCACACAGGAACTAATACAAATTCGAGGAAACTTATCAGAAAATACCTAGAGTTTTGTTGGAGCTTACCCTGTTATGGTGCAGCTTTCTTTCAGGGACAAATCGAACGTCCTGTAAGAGGTCTTGCATCGTGGATCACAAACCGTGATATGCATGTTCTCATAGCTATTAATTCATCGGGTATTTACATTGTTGATGATATGCAATGTGTAAGAAATCAAAATCTATATTATAACTGATGATCACACGTGATATATTAAAAAAAAAAACTTTTTCCTGCAGAGTTTATTATTAGGTCTACGTTATTCAGAGATGAGTTGGGAAATGGCAAAACCATCTGACGAGGGTAATTTGGACTGCCTGCCTTGTTTGTTTTTACAATTTCCTGTTCGAGAGAATGGAGCACGCGTTTATAAAATACTACAAGTATTCTCAAGACAAGTATGATTCATTTTTGGTAAAATAGTAATGATGATTAAGGAATGATTAGATTGAAAATTTATTTTTCTTTCAGGCAATAATGATGGATACGTTAATTTCTGGTTTTGCCGAGGAACATCGTCGCCATGGAGCTAACGGCGATGTGGCAAATACTGATCGTTTAATAGATCACTCGATAGGTTCTACTACCGGGAGTTTTACTAATAAACTTAGCAAATTTACGTTGGCTACTTTTGACGACGAAGGTAATATTGCTAAGATTATTAGAACTCAATTCATTAAAATTGTATTTAAAATTCATTTCAGGTCGATGTATCGGACAAATGGGTTCTTGGTCTTTTCAATAGATATATTTACAAATCAAGTTCAAGTATTGTAAGATATGGATTTTGTTGTAGATAATCCATTAACATTTTATAGCGTTTTGGAACTAAATCTTTGTGACGATTTAATCTAGTTTCTAAAGTCTGCAAAATGAAATTGATCTCATCCATCTTTTCTAATATTTTTTCCTCTTCTTCGCGACTCAACTCGCTCTGTAAAAAGTATTGTATCATGTATATTTTGTAACAAATGAATATGAAAAATCTTTAACCTGCACTAATGATGTTTGTAGCCTCTCAAGATCTTGCGTGTACTCTTCAAATTTACTTAAAATCTTATTCGCTCTATTTACGAGTAGCTGTTTGTAATCGTTGAGACATTCGTATTTTATTGTATAGGCATGAAGCGTGGATATCTCGCCTGGATTCCCTATACGGGCCAAGTATGGTTTCAAATAATCCATATCTTCTAGATCTGTTTGACTTTGTACGCGTGTCCATTCGCTCTGTGTTCGTAATTGTACACATTAGTATTAATATTAAAAGAATAGTATACAGATATATACTTTTCATACCGTGGGTAGATCAGTTGCTGATTCCTCCTCTCTATATTTATCATATGCAGATATTAATAGCACCGGAGTCAAGTACTCATTGTTTTTAGTTCTTAGAAAAAAGGATATTTCGACTTCGGTACTTCTAACATACGACACGGTCTGATCCTCTTCCTTCAACTGCTTCTCTAGTTCATAAAATACATCAAGAGCTCTAACATGTTCATCCATGGGCTAGAAAGAAAACCATATAAATTATAAGTTTGTGAGGAGATCGAGGCCGCGAAACCGCAGGTCCCGCCGGCACGCGCCGCGAGTACGAACACCGCCGCCAGATGGCGACCGCGCGCATCGCGAACTCGCGAGGCAAATGGCCTCGCAAGTAATTATATACCGCGCCGCGAACTGACTACGATTGGATCGACTCTCCGAGCGACATCCCATGCATGCGCTACAGTGGGAAAGATCATCTACTATTTTTTGGAAATTCTAACGCTTCCTTCAGTAGCGTTCGGTGGACGAGTTGTGATTGCGGACTGCGATATGTCCTGCATTTTCCGCTGGCAAGTGCCAGGTTTTTTTCGAGCGGCTTTCCGGCTGCAGGATCGGACGTATACGTCATCCGAACGTCGACCGGAGCCACGGTCTTCTTCCTTGTCGGGGTTAGGCGGGTTTGCAATTGCGGCCGTCCGCCTAGGGACATCTAGCACCGAATGCTAGACATCCCGTGCCTCCGACGCTCGGTGCTGCACTTCGGCTTACACCGGGGTGCCGGACTGCAGCGCCGAGCCATACGGCAAACAAGCCGTACCGTGATCGAACCGCGTCGCGTTAGTATTAAGCCGTTAGTATTAAGTAGTTAGTATAAAGTAGTTAGTATAAAGTTAGAGTTAGTATTAAGCAAGTTAGCTATAAGTCGTTAGCCGTAAGGATATGTCTCTAGACATATTTTAGACTGTAAGGACGCGTAGGACCCGTAGCCTTAACTATAAGATTAGAATAGAACTGGCATTCGTCAGAACCCCGGGACTTACCGGTAACCCGTCACAAGTTTAATTGAGAAAAAATAAGAAAATCTCACAGTGTATCCTTGAGTCATCGTAGGATTGAGAACGAGTCGTTCTCCTCTTTCTGGTAGTGGTGGTTTAACGAACATTCGGGTAGCTCTGGAATACTGTCCTGGATTATAATGATAAGAAAGTCGTATTTCATTGTCACCAATTGCGAACTCCCTAATCGCTATGTCTTTATTTGCTTCGACTTTTTCATTTCTGTTAAATTTTTCGATAATTTTCTAAAAATTTAATTCGAGCTTAATATATTTAATTGCTCGCTGTACGTCGTATTAAATTCTACCTTACCGAAATCTGTCGATAATGTATATCGTCTGACAAAGATGTCTTTCTTTCCCGAGAAAATTCAACGTGCCTGTTTTTAATATCATCATTTCATCATTGTTCAATGTTAATATAATAAATATTTTAATTTATTCAGTCGCAATTTACCTCTTACCGATAATACAGAAGATCATCACGGTCGATGAAGTATTGTGTAAAATAATCTGGATGCATTTCGATTCGCGATAGCCCGTCGTACCGTGCGATATGATAGAAATCTATGATCCGCTCGGTATCCACTGTATTGGAACCATCACCGAAGTATCGGTGTTCTGTTAAAGTTTCATTTATGATGAACATGATAAACCAGTGTATCTATTATCAAACTGCACCTTTGCATTGATCTATTCGTCCTCTTCCATAATAATCAACAACAGAATCGTTGATTAAATTTTTTTGACATTCCAAAAGACTGTCCGACCTGTTCGCATAGTACTCGTACACTTCAGCAGGAGTGATGTACTCGTAATCATCGTATACGGTAATCCTTTGTATCAGTCCATCAATTTGAACATATGGTGCGTACAATTCAACTTTCATTTTTTTATAAGATATTTTTTTCATACCATTTGGATATCGTTTTTCATAATCTGGAACAGAAAATACAAATACAACAGTGTATGCTGAAAAATGTTTACATCAACTGACAAACAATTTTACACACTTTGTTCGCTAATACTTATTTCGTTAACATACGAGGGTGGCATGTCTAAGTGTTTCTCTTCAGATACTATAGAATCAAGATCAATCTCCTCTCCCATTCCACGCATTGCCCATGGTTCTCCAGGAAGCAAATGTTCCCATAGTTCAACTTTTGTTAAATCCCATTTTATGTATATACAGGATTTTGAAGGTTGCATGTTTACCCAATAATTCTGGTCATTCCATATACTTTCTATGCCTAAATAAAATTGGGCAGTATTACCATCTGTTGCTTCATAGTATACACCAGTTGTTGGTTCTACGAAAAGTGGTGAAGAAATCTCGTGACCCCATAGTCCTCCTGATTCTGGCAAGATTACTACCCAAGCATGTATTCTGTGTCCATAATATTCATCGATCGAAGGCTGTTCTAAATCCTAAATTAATTTTTCTTAAAAAAGAATAACAAAATATGTTACACGTATCACTATAAACTAATTACTTCAATCAATCTCCGTTGCTCTTCTTCTTCCAGCCTCAATTTCTCTTGCAACTTCTGTTCCTCTTCTTGTTCAAGTTTTAATAAAAATTCACTGTCATATGCCGTAGGTAATTTAAGTTCGTATCTACAAAGTTGTTCGGTCTCCAGTGGTGCAGGGGCATGCTTCTCTGGGTGCGGCAAATAGGGGCTGGTGGTTCTGGTAAGATCACACAGGGTTTGCTCCCTGGATGCATAACCGCTTACCACAAACGCATTGTACCCTCGTCCTAATAGGAGGCTCGTGAGAAATGTTGCGCATTCGAAGCAATTGCCCTTTTGAAATTTCTGTACCCATGTTGGTGATCGCAGGTGCTTGGGCTGCAAACAGGAAAATATCTAAGAGTTATACACTGATAGTAGATAAAGCAGAAAATTGCAATGGAATCTCACAAGGTAATACACGGTACTGTATGCAGTAAGTGGTAAAGCAGAAAACTCATTCTATCAAGTGTAGGTAAGTTATGAAAGAACCGAGCAGTTAGTTTCAAGTGAAAACACAGAAGTAGTAATAATAACAGTACTAAAGAGTAAATACATTGCACACATAGCTAATAATCATCCATACGCGGAGAGTACACATTGAAATACACACTGGCGAGCACGTGGCGGCCCGTGTGTATTCTCGGTCCCTGACCTACGTCACTGTATTATGATCTATGCGTACAATTTACTGCACCGTACGATGGGTATAAGCAGGTACCGTAAAAGACACGGTAACCGAAAAACAAACAAATGATGCGTACCGTGAGATACCTAATAAAGAGTGATTACGGTAAAAGTGTTATCGCTTAAGAAAAAATAAGAGACAAGAGATTATGGGAGTATTAGAAAGTTGGTTAATTTTGAGTAAATTTGTAAGAAGGGCCTGGAGGTAGCCTGAAATGATCGAAGGGGCGCCTCGCCCTTTCGTGTCTTGGAACGGGAGAAGGTAGTCGTTTTTTGCGAGAACGTAGCCTGCGCCAGGGTAAGGCAGAGATGGTCAGTGGGTGGCGCGGCTATCCCTCGATCCCTTCACCCACTTCCGCCCCCTCTGTCCACCCAAGCTAACCTCACCCTATCCTTGCCCCTTTCCCTTACCCTCCGGCACCCTCGGTCTTGCTTCCTCGCCCATCGCCGTTACCCAACCCTCGCGTCCCTCGCTTACTCGCTTGCCCTGCACGTCACCATCGTTCCGCGCGACCCCTTCGACCGGCACCCACGTGGGACGCAAGACGAGGGTGTGAGGTAGCAGACAACGCGGAGATACCGCCGCCGCGGCAGCTGCGCTCAGTGTTTCTCAACCATCAACTTACGTCTCGCACGATAATTTATATCCTCAACGAAGTCGTCTCCGGGGCGAATATCGCGAGATATATGACACGCGCCGCAACGATAAAAGTATCTCTATAGAATTCAACTTTACCTTACTAGGAAATTATACGTTTTCCTTCTTCCCGCTCTAAATGATTTCATTATTATTCATCGAATTCAATTACGACGAACCATCGACGTTTAAACATCGCGTGAAACATACTTAAAGTTTATTCTCCGCGAAGAAAATTCAAAGGTTTCCTCGACCTACGGAACGGTTTAAAGGGAATAGACCGATATCGACTAGCTGTTCTTTATCGAACGCTTGAATTACTGCGACAGACCTCCTAATGAGAAAAATTTCTAGAACGTGGAGGAGCGATATCTGAAATGGACAAAAATCGTTGAATTTCATGATACACGGTATCGATAATTCCGTGGATGTACGTTCACGGAAGAGGACCGAGAGGGAACGTGATTTACGCCGAGACGATGCTCGTGGGTATCAGTCGTAGGGTACATGATCAAAGCGCGACGGTCGAAAGCGTGGATCGAAGCGCTGATTGGTCGGCTTCGAGCAGGGTGCCGCGAGATAGCGCTTTTCGGGACGCCTCGATGTCGTGCTCGACGCTGGCCGTCGTATCGAGAACGTTATCCGTGGACGCGACCAGAGTGCTATGTGTACCCTGTTCTATGTGTACGGATGAACGTACACGCGCGGATATACCGTGGTTCCAGTGTGTTGGCGCGCGTTGGGAGATGAAACGACCGAGGGCGAAGGAAAGGAGGGATGAAGAGCAAGAGGGACAGAGAGAGAGAGAGAGAGAGGACGACAGAAATAGAGAAGGAGAGAGAGAAAGAGGTCGGGAGGGAGGTAGGGAACGAGGCCTAAATCAGGGGCGATCGCACCGAGCGACGTCGCTATCTCTCTGAATATGCGAACCACTATTTGGCGTCCGCGGCGCGTACGTACCTAGTACCCGGTATTACTAGATACTAGATAGTACCTAGTCCCTGCTACCTCTATATACCTTGGCTAGATGTTTCACCGGTTCTCTGTGTGCGTCTCTCAGCTAGGAGGTGGAGGGTGCCCTACACGAACACCACCGTGCCTCTCCGGTTTACACCTACACGGTTTACATGCCCTGCAAACCGTACCAAAGTACCGAACAGGCCGCGATGCCCGTCGTGTACGCGGTGGACGGAAAACTACCGAACCAAACTCCGCGAACCGTATCCGCCTCGTCGAAAGGGGTTGCTTTTCAAGGGGCGCGAACACGGTTAAACGCGAACCTTGAAAATATCAGATATTACCGATCGATGCTCTTACCGCGTCTCCAGCTTATTTGAAACGTTACGATCACGGGAAAAAGAAGTCGGTATCGAGACATCGATGTTTTTATGAGCTGCGGTTAGCTGGCTGATATATCAAGGAGATGCACACCGTCTCTATTTAATCGTTAACGAGGACGGCTTCGCTCCAATTCAACTTAGTTATGTATAGATCGCCAGTTACATAATCCGCGATAGGTATTCACGGTTCGTGAAAATGATTAAACGTAAGGTAAAATTTCGAAAGTTTTTGTCATACGTTTTAGATTCTCCCTAAATCTTGAGTTATCGCTAGCGTCGCTATAAAATCTCGTTCGCGATAAGCATCGCGATACAGAACTGGTTTCCGATAGTTCCTCGACAATCATTGCTAAAAAACCAGCGCTTTCTTTATGGTCACCGCGTATTCCTCGATGCCGAATGACGTAAACGCCGGTCCGACAAGCATCGACATCAACCGCGGCTATCTTTGACCGATATTTCATAAGCAAAATCTGTCTTGACTCGATTCTAAGCAAGAAAAAAAAAAGAAGCAATCGTTTTCATTGCGAAAATGGCCATCGATGTCATTGAAAATTCCGTCGAACCTTCGCATTAATAGTCGCTATTTACGTAACAGCTGTTTCGAATACTTTCTACTCGTAGGACAGCGAGAAGCAAGTTCGTCGTAACTTGGTCCGAACGACTGAACGGATTATACCGGTTGCTTGTGTAGAACGAAGAGTGGAAATACCGGCGCAAGTTTAGTTTTAAACTTCGCCCAGGCGTCTTCTATTTGTTTTCGCGATGCCAGATAAAGTTGGAGGGTCAAGGGGCAAGAATTACCGACGTTTATAATTAAAATAATTATCCCCAGCTGAATTTTAAGAAATAGATCTCTGTTACAACCTTGAGATGACCCACACCCTCGTGGTGTCCAAAAACTCTTAGATAACCTTTGATTTCAATAATTTGTTCGGAAGAAAAATGTGCCCGTCAAAGGGTTAAGGATATCAATGAATTTAACAAATGAATGACAAAAATAACCTTTCGAAATTTAGCGAAGCGCGGTTTAGCTAAATCCGATAATCAATACCGGTGGCCGGTATCGATCATCAGTAAACGCCGTTCGGTCGGGTTCTCAACGTCGCGACACGGCGCGACGCTCAAGACGCGATAATCCTCGGAGCAGGGAGGAGAGAGAAAAAAAAAACAGAGCCGATGGATCAAGGCGAGAGCGTGTTTATGAGTTCAGATTAATGTTTGGCGAAAAAGTGTTGGCTAAAGCTGGCCCTCTCGTCGACGCTCGATCGTTACAAATACCGGCGGATACGTAAGCACGCGACGAGTAGAGGCTCGGTGTGCTCTAACGAGCCGTACACGTGTTTCTGACGTCGGTGCTATAAAGTAACCTACGTATACGTACACGCGTGACTCTCATCCGAGTATTATCGGTGTATGTGTATAAACACGCGTGGAACACGAGCGCAGCGGAGAGAAGCACCCATATACGTGCAAACCCGTGCTACGGTGGAAGCCCTAGAGCCGGTTTTCAATGAGCGACTGGCGGAAGAAGAGGGAGAAACGGAACGGAACGGCACGGCACGGAACGGCGTGGCAGCAGGGAGTTCCCCGGCACGGCACGGCCAGCGCGGTTGTAACGCAGAAAGAGGAAGAGAGGGATGATGATAAGGGGAGAGACGGAGAACCGAACGACGAATAGAGCGAGGTGAAAGAGGAAGAGGAAGAAGAGGAGGTGGTAGGCGAACAGAAGAGGAAGGAAAGCAAGAATGGAGAAGGGGGAGGAATATAAACCCTTATCGAAATCGTGATTCACCCCACATTCTCCGGAGACCCCCTAACCTATTAACATCCATATCACAATAGCAGATACACGTGTACACCGAGCCGTATTCCCACACGGTCATTCGTCCTCGCTCACCTTCCATAATTACCTGCGATTCCAGTGCCGCCAATGGAAAAACTTGTTTCTCCTTTATTACGCCTGATTGTCGACCGTACGATACGAGCCGGAAATTATGCAAATCTTTTAAAGCACCATGTTCCGAAAATTTTTTTTCGATAAATTGAATCGTATTCTTTCCTCCTTTTTCTTTCTCCCGTCTTTAAGAATGTTAAACGAACACGAGGACGGTAATTAATTCGAAGCGTCGAATCGTTAAGTCGATCGTAAACAAGACGATTCAACGATACGGTCGAGTGTTATTGTTTGAAGATTTCCCTTTCTTTCTTTTTTTTTTATCGATGCGAAAACTTTGCTCGAGATTCTTTCTCTAATCTGAAACGGCCGAGGGTGGTTACTTCGCGCTGTTCGTTTATGGAGCAAGTTTCCCCGTTAAAAGGAACTTTAAGCACTTTTCAGAGACTGACGTTAAATAAGGTGAAGGACCGTTAAGGATCGTCAGGTTGGACCTTATGAAGTACCGTGAATACTTGTGAATGAAATCAACGCTGTCCTCTCTCACCGAAAATAAAAAGTACGTATTCAAAAGAAGATAGAATAAGGGAGGAAGAAAAAGACAGAGGGATTCATTCAATGAAACGGTCCTCCTCCACGTTCCGAACGATTGTTTCCAAAGAACACGCGTGATTCAGAAAGTTACGAATCACCTGTCTTAATTAGATTAATTATCCTCTCGTTGAGATGGAGAATTCGTATCGGAATATCGCGTCGATATTCGTGGAGAGAAAGTTTT